GCCGCAGTTCAGAGAGGCTTAAACTAAGCCCCGCCACTTTAGCGCCGTAACCTGCCAAGCCTGCCCGCCTCTCTCCGCCCCGTGCATTTCAACAATCTCCCCATGACTCCGGCGTCGGGTCCGTCCCTGCGCCTCACTCACCGTGGTCGTCCGTGCGGCGGCCGGGTCGGCTGGCAGGCCTGCTGCGGCGCCGGCGGCTGGTACAGGCCGCGCTGCGGAGAAGGCAGCACGGGGCGCGAGCCGGCCGCCGAGCCGTGCGCCGGCGGCGGCGCCCCCGGCTGGCCGCTGAGCGGCGACGGCGGCACGCTGCGCCCGCTGCCGCTCGAGCTGGGACTCTCGCCGCCGCTGCCCTGGCTCTGGCGCCGGAACTTGGTGCTGTACTTGTAGAAGTCGGACATCTCGAACGGCTTGGTTGTCTCGCGGTACGGCTGGAAGGTCCCGGCTGGATCAGCGTCTGGTTGCGCGGCGACTCGGCCGCCACCGCAGCCGGCGACGGCGTGGCGTCGGCCGGAGGCGGCGAGGGCGGCCGCGGCGCCGGTGCCGGCTGCCGACCCTGGTGACGAGGCGTGGCCAGCGCCTCCAGCGGCGCGTGACGGGCACCTGCGGCCGCGGCGGCGCCACCAGCGGCGTCACCGACACGTCCAGTAGCGCCTGCGCCGGCCGCGGCGGCCCGTCGACCGCGTCGAGCGGCGCCGGCGGCAGCCGCTCCCGCGCGCGCCGCGCCACGTCCGGCGAGTCGAGCGACGTCTCGTACCACGCCTTCTCGCGGCGGCGGCGCGCGGCCGCCGCGTCCGGCGAGTGGTCGCCAGCCGACGCGGCGCTCAGGTGGCGCCCGAACGCCGCCGAGTCGGCCGGCAGGCTGCCGGTGCGCGCGTGCGCCGGACGCAGGCCGTCGCTGACGGCGCTCAGCGGCGAGTCAGTGAAGCGCGGCGGCTGCGGCGGCGGCGGCCAGCGCGGCGGCTCGCCGGACGCAGCCGGCGGCGCGCCGGCCGGCCCGCCGTCCAGCCGGTCCATGCTGCGGGCCTCCAACGTCAGGTGGCCGGCCGACGAGACGTGGCGGCGCCGGTCCAGGCTGCCGAAGCGCGCCGACTCGTCCGGCGCCGCCTCGAAGCTGCCGTCCAGCTCGTCCACGCTCAGGTGGTGCATGGGCGACGGCAGGGCGGCGGTGGCGGCGGCGGCCGGCGCCGTCCGCCGCTGCGGCACGCTGTACATACCACCCGGCGACCAGTACTCGCGCGGCGGCGGCGGCGGCGGCGGCGTGTCTGCAGGCCGAGCATCGGGAGTCAGCAGGAGAGCCGCGGCCAGTCATGGCTGCTGGCCTTCACGACCGCCGCCCGGGATAAACGTTCACCACGGCATCCGGGCGTCACATGATCATAAGCCTGGTAAATCAGCTGACGCGATGTGTCATATATAGGACAGGCACGAGAAATCAACACTGAAGCATGGTGTGGGCGTTATCAACAAAACAACGATCCCGCAGGCAGGCAGAAAAAAAAAAACGATAACGCATCGGGGCCCGTGACAAAAAAAACACGATTGGCTGCCACGAGTACCTCTCACCTCTTTGACTGAGGGTCGGATACTGCTTGCTCCGATAGGAAGAGCGCGTGTACACCGAGCTGGGGATGTATCCGCCATTAAGACTGGAAGAGATCAACACGAACGTCAACGCGCTGGCCCCCTGCCTGCAGCGTACGTCATCGACATCGCCTCGAACACGTCTAGCTATCACAGGCACTTTAAGCCAGTCAGCATCGCACTGCGCAGAGCGCGGCGATAACGGCTCACAGCTGCACAAGGTCACCGATAACGCCCCCAACAATTCTAACACCACATGAATCACCACACTCCTCTAAACCTCCGCAGGTGCAGGCACATCTAAATCACCACAGGCTAGGGCACCTCATCATAACAGCATGGGGCGGGGCGCCGCTGCCCGGCCCCAGCCCCATCCCCAGCCCGTCGCCACTCACTCGTGCGCGTTCGGGCTCGGCTCCCGCGAGCAGGGCACGTGCAGCGTAGCAGAGCGCGACTTGGGCATCTTCTTGGGCGAGCCGGGCGCCGACTGGGCCCGCGCCCTGTTGGCCGGACCCTCCAGCGGTGCTCCGCCTGAAGCAGAGCGTGCGTCAGCGACGTGGCTCCGACGGCGGTCGACCTCGTCACCTGGCACTGCCCCGGACGGCACCCGAACCAGCGGTACGGGCGCCGCCCTCGCGCGCACGGCTCGTCGTCCTCTCTTGGCTGATATTCTCCCCGGTGATCTGCGACTGCGGCCCGTGGACAAAACACAACACCCAAATAACGAGGCCTGGCGTCCTTTTCCGTCCCGCATAGCCCCAGTTTCGGTCCGAGGAGCACTGCTCGTCATGTCAGGTCAGGTCAGGTCAGGTCAGGTCAGGTCAGGTGGGCGCCGCTCACCAGGTAGGCCGGGTGTCGGCGGGCGGGCCGCGGCCCGGGCCGCTCCGGCGAGCGCGGCGGCCGCGGCGGCAGCGCGCCGTTCATCGGCGATAGGCTGACCCCCTCAGCCGAGGCCACCGAGCTCTCGTCCTCGTCGCTGTGGTGGTCTGCGGACACGGCCAACACGCACGGTCACCACCCAACAGCTCCGGCCAACACACACGGTCACCACCCGACAGCTCCGGCCAACACGCACGGTCACCACCCGACAGCTCCGGCCAACACACACGGTCACCACCCGACAGCTCCGGCCAACACACACGGCCACCACCCGACAGCTACAGCTCCGGCGAACACGCACACGGTCACCACCCGAAGACTGCGGCCGACACGCACACCACAGAAGGGCAAGAATATGCACCTATCTACCATGTTTACCGGAAACTGAGGCCTGCTGGCCAAAGGTGACGAGACAAACGGAATTTGTTCGCTGTGGACTTAAGAGGCGACTTAAGGCGGGCACCGTAAACTTCTTTTCATCGAGTTCATTGCAACACAGCTTGGGACAACTAGGTCTGCAAGGAATAGCCGAACTTAGTACGGAAACCCATAGCATAGCCAGAATAGTTGAGCTGACCAGCGCAATCATGTTATCAGCCAGCTCCCGTGTACTTTTAGCACGGTCAGCGGGAATGTACGCGGTGAGTAAGGCGTACGTATCGCCGCGTCATGACGCAGCTCAGTTTACCTCCACGCAATTGTCCCGGGGGCCGGTCAGGAAAGGCCGCTGTATCAAGCTTCCTGTTCCTACCACAGTGACTACCGCAAGAAGACACGCCAGCACTCCGTTCCAGGGAGCCGCTGACGCAGGAGGCGACCCACCACACACACAAATTGCAACACAGACACCGCCATCCGCCGTTAACAAGCGAAGAGGACGCCACGGCGCCCAGGCACGGTCCGGAGTCGGCGGCCCGCCTCCACCCGACAGGAGAAGGTCTGACGGTCACCAGTGGCCGGGGAGCACGTCCCACCGTCGCGAGCGGCGGCGGCGGCGCCGACTCACCCTCGCCGTCGCTGCTGGGCCGCGGCGCCTTCTGCCGCTTCTGCAGCTGCTTGGCGCGCGCCGCCTTCAGCTTGGCCCTCGATCTCGCGCAGCTTCTGCGCCGACATCTGGTAGCTGAGCTTGCGCTGCTTGCGCACCTTCTTCATGGTGGCGTCGTTGGCCAGCTTGAGCGCGGCCGTGGTGATCTTGCTCTGGATCTCGTAATCGAGCTCCAGCGCCGACACCAGCTCCTCCTGGCGGTCAGGTCGAGTCGGGTCAGCGGCGGCTCTCGGGATACAAACGTCCGGGTCGTAACGCTGTCCTGCCATTTTCTCCCGCTTAGAGGCGTCGGAGACAACGATTCGACAGTCGCCACTGTTCGTCGTGACAAGAAACAGTCGCCAACAGTCAGCCGCTCAGACCGCGTAACTGTTGCCGGGTCCGAGGCAGCCGCTAGCTCAACAGACTGCTGACAGCTTACAGCTAACTCAACCACTAAGGACTCGTGCGCTGACCAGGCTAGGCAGGCAGCTTGACAATCTGCGACCAGTCACCTCAGAAACAGGCAGAGCATGACACGAATGCCCTGATCCCACCAGCCGCGGCGCCCAATGACGGCGCCCCGTGCGGTGCCCGACCCCAGCGGCGCCGGCGCGTGCCGTACCTGGCTGCCGCGCAATCGGTTGAGCAGCGTCTCGGGCAGGGTGAAGGCGGTGCCCATGCGGCGGCGCACCTGCGGCAGCGGCTCGCCGGGCACCAGCGGCAGCTCGGCCGGCAGCTGGCCGGTCAGCTCTGCCTCCTTGAGGCAGAGCAGCCGCAGCTCGGCCGTCCGCTCGGCCAGCTTGGCCTCCAGCGCGTCGCGGCGCGCCTGCAGCGCGGCGCACATCTCCATGCGCGCGGCCTGCTGCTCCGAGTCGTCCGTCAGGCTGCTCACCGCCAGCGACTGCAGGGAGCCGCTGTTGCTCAGCGACGAGCTGCTGCCGACCGCCGAGAGTGCCGCCGACGAGCGGCTCAGGTCGCGCGCGAATCTCAGAGAGCGCGCGCGCCGCCTGCAGACCCGACTGCGGGGGACGAGGCGCGCGCTGTCAGAGGGCGTCCTGATCGGCGTCAAGCGCCGAGCGCCGCGGCCGGAGGCGGCGCTGCAGCGGCGCGCCGGGCACCGACGGACAGCATGCCAGTACAACATGAGACAGGCAAGCTCGTCGACAAAGTCGACAAGTCTTTAACATGCTACCTGGAGGGGTTGGGGATGGCGACATGGCGGCAGTACGTATATGCAACGCCATCAATCCCACGTGAAAAAACCCTCATCCACAACAAAGTCCATGGCAACATAGCACATTTTGGGAGTCATTTTGGAGTCTTTTTGGAAGTCCGAAAGACTCCTTACAGCATACTGCGGCTGCGGCCCAATGTCCCCCTCCTCCCCACACGCGCGTTACACCCACGTCTGGGAACAAACGGCGTCCCCAGTCTCCGCGCACACAACGCCGGGGCGCCGGCGCGCCTCACCCTGGACTCCTCTTGCCCTCGACGTGAAACTGGTGCTTGTGAGACGGCCGTGAACCAGATGTTGCGGCATGCCGTCTGGGAGGCGGCGAACCACGAGTAGACGCTGATGTGTCCCGGCCCGAGCGTGCGGCGGCTCACGGACACCCTGCGCGCGGGAGGGAGGAGCGCTGAGCTCAGTCGCCGCGCGGGACAGAACTGCACTATCGGCTCGGCTCGGCGCTCGCGGAGAGGACGTGGCGACGGCGCAACAGGGGAACACCACGGACATTGAGGCCGGCGGACGTGAGGTCATGGCTCGAGGCTACACGGACTGAGAGGATGTGGCGGAGACCGGACGCGGCGCTGCAAAATAGCCCTGCCCTCCCCACTGGCGGCGGGCTGTGCTGGCGGCACGTTATCACCCGCCGTGACATCATGAGATAACAGCTCTCGGCCGGCGGGCGAGATCAGCTCGATCACAGTCGAGCGCGGCACAATCAGCACTGATTACGACAACAGGTCCGCTGCGACGGCCCGAGGCGCGGCCGCGGGCGGAGCGTCAGCGGCCGATGACGGGCTCTGCCGACGTCACCAGCACCGACGCGCGGACGCGGTCAGGCCGGCCGCACTCACGCCCACGCCACCGCAAACTGATCTCAAGGTCTAAGCCCCCGCTCAACAGACAACGCCAGAGGAATGGGAGCAGGCACGCGACGCTTGCTGTGCATGGACATGACCCGTCACTCGCGTACGGGAGAACCAGCTCGAGTGTACAGCTGGAGTTGTTTGATATCATGCAGGCTGACCGGCGCCGCTCGTGCTCCCCAGGGCCTACTGCGAGTGCTCTCGCTATCGCTGAGCAATTCCAGTTCCGAGAGACGAAAGCTTACAGCCAGCCTTCAATCCCTGCGCGGTGGCGCGGACACACGCCGAGGCGCGGCCCGAGCCGATCCTCGCAGCGTGCCTCGGGCCGCCGGCAGCGCCACCAGCAGGCCGCCCACGGCCCAGACCAGACACAGACCAGACCAGACACAGTGCGTCATGTTCTGCGTACAGCAGCCCCACTGGGTCATTGGGCAACGAGGTCCGAGAAGAGCTAACGTCACCCATTTGGTCCGCAGTCCCCGAGCGTGGCGTGGCGTGAACGTCAGCAGTCTCGGCGGTACCAGGGAGATCCGGACATACGCCATTGGCCACCGGGCCGAGGAATGCTTATGTCACTCACGTGGGCGCATGGTGCGTGACAGCGCTTTCCACTGGAGGAGGGAGGGGAGGTCTGGATGCAGCGTATGTGACGCCTCCCACACGGTGCAGGGTGTGAGGGTGGGGTGGTCATTCACTGGTATCCCGACAGGGCGGTCAGGTGTCACAGCTAGGTGGAGGCCATTGAGCGGGTGGGGTCGCCCACTGGGTGCAGGGGCGGTTCACTGGGCGCGGTCCGGCGACCTCGATGGTTGCACAGACAGCGCTCACTCACTGGGTGCAGGGGTCGGAGATGGCCGTGACCAGGTCGTCTCCAGACGTGTCGTTGCCGATGGCGTCCTCGTACACGTTGATAAGCTGCTCAGCGCTATGCACCACTCTGTGGGACGGCCACGGCCGGCGGCATGCATTAGCGACGGCCGGCGGGGGCGGCGGCGGCGGCGCGGCTCTGCCATGACAGCGTGCGCGGAGCCACCAACACGGCACACGGAACGGACAGCGGGGCCGGTCGGCGGCAACGTGTTCCCCTCCCTACCAGCCTGGCAGGGTGGGAGGGTGAACGCATGGTGCCGCCGCCTGCTCAGGCTGTGGGTGTGTTTGTGTGCAGCAGCGCTGTTGCTTGTGAAGTGGGGCGGTGATTTCTGGGAGTAAAAAGTGAACTTTCACATGAGAGAGCACTGTGAGAAAGCCCAAAATCTTGCGTGGCAAATGACGACTCACAGCTGATTTCCAGCTCCCCGTCTAATGCTCCTTTCGGCATACTGGTATCTCATTCGTGAAAAGGCTAAAAGTCATTTCTAGCTTATGTTGGTATTTTTTCGAAGTTTCACTGGCACATTTCGGTACCATCGCGCCTTTTGCTCCCGATACACACTATGAGTGGGCCGGCTTCCACTCCTGACCAATTCTATGGCCTGTGTGTGTGGGGGGGGGGGGGGGTCAAGCTCCCTTGCCGCTAGCGCTCCATTAAGCGTGCGTGGCGGGGCATCCCTCACCGGCCAGCCGGCTGCCCGTCTCGTCTATACAGCCGGGCGGGGGACAGCGCCACTGGCGACGGGTCAGCGAGGCTCAGGGCGGGAACGGCGGCCGGCCGGACCCGGCCACGCCGCTGACAGCGCCGCCATGGGCACGCTGACGGCATCAATGGCCGCATTGGGAGCGTATTTCCGGCCTCATTGACCCAGACACGAGCGCCGCCCGACTACAGCCTACTGTCCGTATGTGTGTGTGTATGGGGGGGGGGGGGAGGGCGAACCTTATCTTTTATGTTTGAACAAAACCGCAGCAATATTTCCTCACGGCGATGTTTTGACGTAACGCATGGCGGCGACGGCGGACCAACTCTACCCTTGATTCCAATTTACAGCATACTTTACACCGAAAGCATGCACAGACCAGCACGCAACATATCCACAGTGTACTACACACTGCACGGGATCCCGCTGCCGTGAGCAGAACCGCAACACGCAGGGTCGTTTCGCGATCTGCGCTACTGACAACAATCAGCCGAACAGAAAGCGCGTGCGATCACACCCACCCACACCCACACACACACGCTCACACCCACACACACACGCGCACACACGGGCTAAGCTGCGCATACTCCACAGCCCGAAAGCAGCCAGCAACAGCAGACGCGTGCACGGCCCCCGGCGAGCGAGACTTACTTTTTGGGCTCGTCTACTTCGATCGAAAAGCGCCCGTCACGAAACGTGACGTTCTCCAACTGCTTCCACTGGAACAGCTGTGAAAACACAACACGGGGATGAAAGAGCCGGGAACAGCGGGCGGCGGACGTGGTCTCGTAGGCTGCGATGAGCTGCTCCGGTGGCTCCCGGTCATCTCGTGGACAGCCAGGTCTGCAGTCACGCACCTTAGATCACGTGCAGCATGTGGGAAAACGGCTCCACCGTGTCAGTCTGGGCCCCGAGGAAAGTTTCACTCCAGCAGCGCCTGAGAATCGTTCACATCCTTCCCAGCGCGTGAGAACCAGCAAATAAATGAGTATATGTGAGGCGTGATTAAGGAGGCTTTAGCTACTAAATTTCCCCTTTTAATTTCAAACCTCACGCGGAGCCTATTTCGCTGGTCATATCGCGCTAACGGACGATACCCAGACGATAATCACTACGATAAGAACTCACGCAGGCGGGCGGCGGCAGCGGCGCCTGCCTCGGCTGCCTGCCGACCGGGTCGTCACCACGCCACGGTCACGCGTCCACTCCGGTCGGTCGCGCGCCACGGTCGCGCGTCCACTCACCCGGCGCGACTTGCCGCGGTCGGCGATGTCGTACTGCGCGATGCCCAGTGTCGAGATGCCCAGCCACCAGGCGTTGTTGCAGCTCTTGTCGGTGACGCGGTAGAAGTGCACGCCGTAGGTGGGCAGTCGCTCGGCCTGACTCAGGTACCTGGCGGCCGGAGCGGGCTGTCAACCGCGGCCGCCAGCGGCGGAACGACGCTGACGTCGAGCCGCGTCACGCGCGGCGCGGCGGCCGGCGCCCAGCTGCGGCCACGCCAGCCGCGCCCACCTGAGCAGACGGCGCGCGGGATCCCGCCCACCCCCCGCCCTCCCGGCCGACAGGCACCACGTGTGCGGAGAAGGTGTCACGATAGCGGAGTGGTCTCTATCTAGTCCACGTGAGCAGCTCTCCCATCGCTCTGAGTCACAGTCTGTACCGGGCGGCGCGACACGGCGGGCGCCGGGCAGCTTCTCCGCCCGGCCGCCGCCGCCGCCGCCGTCGAGACCTGCCGCTGCAGCGCGCCGCCGCCCGCCACACAAAACCGGTTTTCACGCAGAAACGGTCGGCCGGCCGGGACGCCGGACTGGCCGGCCGGGCGGTCCGGTCGGCCGGCGGGCGGCCCACACACGGCACGGTCGGACGGGCGCTGCAGCCATCTCCGAGCGACGCTCAGATGAGGTCCCGTCGGCTAGCGTACGCTAGCCCGGCGGAAATGTCCGTCGCCACAGTTTCCCGAGGAGCGACCCCGCACTGATGGCGGCCGCGGGCCGTCTGGCGCGCGCGGCGGGGCCGAGATCAGATCCGGCGGTACGAGGGGAGCGAGGCGCACAGCCCGCAACCACGTACGGTGGCTACACTTGCCTGTGAGTCACACCAAATATGCCTCACCCGCCCCCGCGCACACATACCGGCGGGACCTGTCCGTACAGTCTCCGGCACGGCGGCCTCGCACATCTCGGTCGTGCACCGTCCACTCTCCGACATGGAGCGGTGTGCCGCGGGCCGGCGGTGGGGAGAGGTGGCGGCGGTCTCGGAGACGCCGGCGCATCGCGTGCGAAGTGCGGCCCAAAACGCGACGACCCGTACCGAGACGGCCGCGGGGCCGGTTCCCGCCGGACCAGGGACCAGCCGGGACCAGGAGCTGCCGGACCGGCACTGCAGCACGCCGACAGCGTAGGCGGCGTTCGTCCCTGCAGTGCTTCTACGCAGCATACCGCACTCGCCTCCCTCCCAGTGACTCGGCCCAGTCCTGTGCTCTCGGCCGGCACCGGCGGCCGCTGTTTCCCGGGGCGCCGACGGGCGCTGTTCCAGGGCAGCCGACGGCCGCTGTTCCCGGGGCGCCGACGGCCGCTGTCCCCGGGGGGCTGCCGGTCGCTGTTCCCGGGGAGCCGACGGCCGCTGTTCCCAGGGCGCCGACGGCCGCTGTTCCCGAGGCGCCGACGGCCGCTGTTCCCGGGAGCCGACGGCCGCTGTTTCCCGGGGCGCCGACGGCCGCTGTCCCGGGGCGCCGACGACCGATGTTCCCGGGGCGCCGACGGCCGCTGTTCCCGGGGAGCCGACGGCCGCTGTTCCCGGGGAGCCGACGGCCGCCCGAC